ACGTCATAAGTTCTTTCTACTGTTTTGTGTTATAACTACTATGCCTACCCCCAATATCTGCAGGACGCTCAAAACTCTCACATTTTGCCACTTATCCCCGAATTGCGCTATTTTGTCTTTTGGACAGCAGACTCCCCAAGCACAAGGGAAGACTTACATTTTGCCATCTTATTCCCGAATGGCATTACCTTGTCTTTTTGACAGCGGACGTACCAGGCCGACACGTCAGACGAAAATACAAAAACAGCCTATTTTATGCTGTCCTATGTTTCCTGAGTAGTTCGGGGATGATTTTATATTCGTTCCAAGAAACCCTGACGAACATACTAAACCCTTTCGGCAATTGCCCACATCTTACAATTTGTTTTGTAAAAACACCTACTTCTGCAAGCAGCAAATTGTCGAGGCTATCACAATCAATTACAGTGTTCACTTTCAGAAAACCTTAAATTTAATTTTGTTAATTGGCTGCCACGCCTATAAGGAGTTGATTGGCGCGTATTTGGACTTTAAGGTAAACATATGTAGTGATCGCTGCCGGCCGACGCCCTCCGTTGCTTGGTCCGCCCTTATTGTTCAAGGCCAGCTGCCTCAAGGTCATCCAATACCTTCCAGACGCGCTGACCTGCAGGGGCTTGACCTACCTCCATTCGAACACACACACACGTGCGTCAAGGTTCTCGCGGCTGCCAAAGCACCACTCCAACATGTCCCTTATTTCCCACTCTCGGCCGCCAGACATCACATGGGACCCGGCCAGTCTCCTGGGTGGTCGTGTACTCCCAAGTCCAACTTCTTCCTCCTTATTCTCCGTTCCTCTTTGTACACAATAAGCCAGTCCATATATTTAGGCCTCCATGGACTTCTTCTTTACTAAGTAACCTTGGCCTGAAGATCTCAGTTGCCAGGATTTAACTTACTTTACCCCCAGCGATACATATGCTGGCTTTTTGGACATAGACCCTATAATTTTTGTTAAGCAGGTAAATCAGGTGGCCAAAGGAGAAATATTTAGCAAGCATATCACAGAGTTCTCTAGAAAATGTACGTTTACCTGGCAAAAAGCACCATTCAACGGCAACACAGTTTTAGAGCACCACTATGCATTGGCTATCTTGTGCTGTGAGGCTGCCTCTCCACGTCAAATGCAACCGATACGCTACACCCCTGGATTTTGCAATCAACTGCAGAACCTCAAAGTATGTCAGTAAACCGCTAGTTAGCGATCTGAGCTCAGTTACACCAATTAATCTCTACGCTCTAGCTCGTCATGGCACGAGCTAGTGGCGTTACATAAGCCACCTGAATCGATAAGCGAGTTGTCTGAGCGGTGAAACAGCTACTCGGAGGTTAAATATGATTAGCGATCTAACTGTCAGTGAAGAAGTCCGTTTGCGGTAAGCCGTGCCACCCGATCGAAAATCAAAGAAGTGTTTATTAAATTTCAGGGTAATTGAGCTAGTATTAAGTTGGAAGTTAAGGTTAGGTTTAAGGATAGAGTTGTGTTTATAGATGTAGCTTATATTGAGGATTATAGTAGATCCCCCACAGAGTCTTGAAGAACGACGGGCAAACATCCTTTAAGCTGGCCGTCCTCATCTTATTTCCATAAGGAAAGATTTTAAGTATCTAAGTAATGCTTGGAAATTGCGAAAAGAACGCCTTATGTTGTTTTCGATGACCATCAGTCTCATCAGTAACTAGATCTGTGTAATTATCTGGAGAATAACGGGATATTTGCCTGTCAGTTTTCGCATTTCCTCAAAACGTCCAGTAAAGAAAAGAAGACACAAGACACAGACAGACCTTTGTAACAACCAGTATATTGCTGACAGACCATACTCATGATATTGGCACGTCCTATTATTTTCCTCAAATACCGATGCTTCCTTCCGGTACTAAGTATGCCGGTATATCCAACAGGTGGTTGCTCCTGCGCGTGACTTTAAATTGGTATGCAGCACTCATCTGTGATTCACCGGAACTATGAGTCTACCTATGGGCAATGTCCCGTAAGCAC